ATTGATTCTTCTAATCCATAAACATGGACTATATTTCCAGTTATTTGTGTCGTCTTTGATTTTTTCAATATTTTATAACTTTCATTGTAGACATCGTTCACCTCCTTGGTTAAGTTTATTTCTAGGGTTTTTTTGGGGAATACTTATTGTAGATATGATTGTTTTCTTGATTTCTTTTTGAGATAATTCACTATTATAGAAACACTACTGATTTTTGTATATTGAGTTTATGTCCTGCAACTTTACTGAATTTGTTTACTAGTTCTAACAGTTTTTTGGTGGAGTCTTTAGGGTTTTGTATATGTAAGATCATGTTATCTGCAATCAAGGCCAATTTAACTTCCTCTTTTCCAATTTGAATGCTCTTTATTTCTTTTCTCTTGCTCTGGCTAAGATTTCTAGTACTATACTGAATAAAACTGCTCAAGTGGGCATCTTTGTCTTGTTCCAGATCTTAAAGAGAAAGGTTTCAGCTTTTCCTTATCTAGTATGATGCTGGCTTTCAGTTTGTTACATATGGCCTTTATTATGTTGAGGTTTATTTCTTCTATACCTAATTTGTTAAGAGTTTTTTTTTTTGAATTTTATCAAATACTTTTTCTATGTCTATTGAGATGATCATATGGTTTTTGTCCTTCATTCTGTGATGTATCCCATTTATGTATTTGTATATGTTGAACCATCTTTGCATCCCTGGAATGAAGCCCCACTTGATCATGTTGAACTATCTATTTGATGTGTTGTTGGATTCAGTTCGATAATACTCTGTTGAGGATTTTTACATCTGTGTTCATTGGGAATATTGTCCCATTGTTTTATTTTTTTGTTGTGTCTTTGTCTAGTTTTGCTGCTAAGGTAGTGCTGCTCTCATAGACTGTGTTTGGAAGAATTCATTCCCTTTCAATTTTTTGGAATCATTTTAGAAGGGTTAGTATTTATTACTTTTTGAAATGTTTGGTAGAATTCAGCAATGAAGCTATTTGGTCCTGGCTTTTCTTTGATGGGAGATTTTTAATTACTAATTTGATTATGTTACTCATTATTAGTCTGTTCAGATTTTCCACTATTGATGGTTCAATCTTGGTAAGTTGTATATGTCCAGGAATTTGTCTATTTCTTCCAGGTTTTTACAATTTGTTGGGTTGTAGCTGTTCATAATAGTCTCTGATGACTTTTTGTATTGCTGTGGTGTCAGTGGTAACAACTCCTTTTTCATCCCTGATTTTATTTATTTGAGTCTTCTCTCTTTTTTCTTAGTTATTCTAGTTAAAGGTTTGTCAATTTTCTTCATTGTTCAAAATCCCAACTCTGTTTCATTGATCTTTTTTTTCCTAGTCTCTATTTCATTTATTTTGGTTCTGATCTTTTTATTTCTTTTCTTCTATTTTTGGATTTGTTTTTTTCTTATTTTTCTAGTTCCCTGAGTGGCAATAATAGGTTGTTTATGTGAGATCTTTCTATTTTTTAACCTTGGCATTAATTGTTATAACCTTCCCTCTTAGTACTGCTGTTACTGTATCCCATAGGTTTTGTATGTTGTGTTTCCATTATCATTTACCTGAAGAGATTTTTAGATTTCCTTTTTCATCTTTTTCATTGACTCATTGGTTGTTTAGGAGCATATTGTTGAATTTCCATGTATTTGTATAGTTTTTTAAGTTATTTTTGTTATTGATTTCTAGCTTTATTGTGTGATAGTCAGAAAAAAATACTTGATTTGATTTCAATTTTCAAAAATTTGTTGAGACTTGTTTTGTAGCCTACTGTATAATCTATCCAGGAGAACATCTCATGTGCTATCATGAAGAGTGTGTATTCTGCAGTTTTTGAGTGGAATGTTCTATGGATGTCTGCTAAGTCCATTTGTTCAAGTGTGTAGTTTAACTCCACTGTTTATTTGTTCAATTTTTGTCTGGATGATCTGTCCATTCCTGAAAGTGGGCTGTTAAAGTCCCCTCCTATTATTGTGTGGGAGTCTATCTCTTTTTAGATCTATTAATTTTGTTTTATATATCTAGGTACTCTGATGTTGGGTGCACACAATTGTTATATCTTCTTGATGAACTGACCTCTTTGTCATTGTATAGTAACCTTCTTTGTCTCTTTTTACAACTTTTGATTTAAAGTCTATTTTATCTGATGTAAGTACAGTCGTCCCATGATATCCATATGGGATTGGTTCCAGGACCCTTTGTGGATACCAAAGTCCACGCATATTCAAGTCCCACAGTCAGCCCTGTGGAACCTGCATGTTCAAAATGTTAGCCCCCTATATTTGTGGGTTTCACATCCTGTGAATACTGTATTTAAATTTGTGATTGATTGCAGATGTGGAACCTGCATGTACAGAGGAATGACTGTATTTAATGAAGAAAAATCATATATAAGTGGACCCATGCAGTTGAAAGCCCGTTGTTCAAGGGTGAAAACGGTAGAGCTACTCCTGCTCTCTTTTGGTTTTAATTTTTATAGATTATCTTTTTATTTCCCTTCACTTCCAGTCTATGCATGTCCTTACAGGTGAAGTGAGTTTTTTGTAAGCAGCATATAGTTATTTCTTGTTCTTTAAAATTTATTCAGTTACTCTATGTCTTTTAATTGGAGAATTTAATCCATTTATGTTTAAGGTATTCAATGATACATTAAGGTCTTATTACTGCCATTTTGTTATTTGTTTTCTGTTTTTTTTTTTTTTATAGTTTCTTTCTTCCTTACACCCTCTCTTGCTATCTTCCTTTGTGGTTTGATGGTTTTCTGTAGTGGTATGCTTTGAATTCTTCCTCTGTATGTTTTATGCCTCTACTATAGATTATTGCTTTGTGGTTATCATGAGGCCTACAAAAACACTTTTACTTGTTATAACATCTTATTATGACATATTATTTTAGGCTGATAGTAATTTAACTATGATGCTAAAGGTAGGAAAAGAAACAAAAATAAAAAAAAACTCAAAAGACTCTATGCTTTAAATCCACTGCCTCCCACATTTGGAATTTTTGGTGTCCCATCCCATTTTATATTTTTTATATTGCCTATCTCTTGCCAAATTATTGTAGTTATTATTATTTTAGAGATGAAATCTCACACTGTCACCCAGGCTGGAGTGCCGTGGCAGGATCATAGCTCACTGTAGCTTCAAACTCCTGGACTTAAGTGATCCTCTTGCCTCAGTCTCCCAAGTTGCTGGAATTATAGGTGTGAACCTATAATAGGTGTGAACCACTGTACCCATATCAGTTATTATTTTTTAATAATTTTGTGTTTTAATTTTTATACTAAAGATATAAGTGGTTTACACAATGTTTACAGTATTAGAGTATTCTGAGTTTGTCTAGATATCTACTGTTCTCAGTGAGTTTTATACCTCCCTGTGTTCTCTTGCTAGACATTAGCATCTTTTTCTTTCAGTTTGAAGAACTTTCTTTAGTATTTTTTATAAGACGGGTCTGATGGTGATAAATTCTCTTAGCTTTTGTTTATCTGGGGAAGTCTTTATCTTGCCTTCATTTCTGAAGGATAGCTTTGCTGGGTATAGTATTCTTGGTTACCATTTTTTCCTTTGGTACTTTGAATATAGCATCCGACTCGTCCTTGTCCTGTTAGATTTCTGCTGAGAAGCCTGTTGCCAGATGAATTGAAACGTCCTTATGTGTTAATTAGTTCCTTTCTATGGCTTCTTTCAGAATCTTTTCTTTGTCTTTGATCTTTGAATGCTTGATTATGAGCTATCTTTGGGTAGACTTATTTGGGGTGAATCTGGTTGGTGACCTTTGACCTTCCTGTATCTGTATATTTGTACCTTCTATAGCTTTGGAAAGCTTTTTGTTATTATCTCTGAATAAGCTTTCTATTCATTTGGCATTCTCAAATCTTTCTTCAACTCCAATTACTTGAATATTTGCTCTTTTGATGTTTTCCCATAGTTTCTACAAGCTTTGTTTATTCTTATCCATTTTTCCCCTCTGACTGTATATTTTCAAATAGCCTGTCTTTGAGGTGCATTGTGTTTTTTGGCTCCAGGATTTCTGTTTGATTTAAAAATATTATTTCAATCTATCTATTAAGTTTACCTGATAAATTATAAATTCTCTGTATTTTCTTGGGTTTCCTTAAAACACCTATTTTTAATTCACTGTCCAAGAGATCACACATCTCCATCACTTTAGGCTTGGTCTCTGGTGCCTTATTTGTCCATTCAGTGAAGTCATGGTTCCCTGAATGCTCTTGATGCTTGTGAGCAGGAAGTGATATCGGTGCATTGAAGGATTTGGTGTCTATTCCAGTCTTCACAGTCTGGCTTTGCTTGTGCTCATCCTTCCAGAGATTCTAAGTGGGCTGGTTATTATATTCTCTGAACCTGTGGTCACTGCTTCTATTTCAGCACTAGATGGTGCCCTATGCCCAGGTTTGCCATGGGTTTGTGGTTGGTGTGTTGTCACTTTTTCAGAACTAGAGGATACCCTAAGCCCTGCCTGGGACAGTTCCAGATACTCTGTCCATGGTCCCCAGCAAGGGGTTATGTACTGTGGGGCACTGTCTGACATGGGGCCTTATTGTGGCAGGCCTTGTTCCAAGACGTCTCCTGTCTACTTCCCTCTCCTTCCCCCAAGCATACAATGCCTCTCTCTGTGCTGTGCTGCCTGGGGTTTGGGGAAGGGATGGAGAAGGTGGTCCTGTGGCCCATATAGCTGCCATAATGCTGGGTTATGCCAGAAGTACAAAGCTGCTGTGACCAACATAGCACAGGGGTACACGTAAGGCTCACGCTACTGTGGCCTGCCTGCCACTGAGGCTCAAGGCTGTGGGAAAAATCAGGCAGTGATGTAAGCCAGAACACAAGACTGTCCCACCAGAGCCACAAGTGTCCACCTGGTGCTGATGCAGGTCCAGTGACTCTGTCAGACCTTGTTTGGTTCTTCCTGGTGCTCAGTTTCCCCCTGGGAGATCCAGCACTGAGTTTCAAGGCAAAGTTCTGCACTTACTTCCCTCTTCTTCCTGCCAATAGATAGAGTCACTCTGTGTTGCACCCCTGGGTTTGGGGGAGGTTAGGTTAAGGCAGTCTTTTGGCACCAAGGCTGATATTCAGGTGGGTCATACCCAAAGCCCACAACATCTGGGACCAGTGCAGCCGAGGACATGCTCTAGCCCATGCTACTGTCCCCTGCCTGCCTGCCTGCTGAGATTCACTCATGGTTTGAGGCCACTGTAATGGCCAGCAGTAGTGCAGGCCAATGCATGAGACCATACTGCTGTGGCCACGGGTTTCAATCTAGCACTGGAGCAAGTCCAGAGTCTCCATTCGTAGGCCCTGTCCTGGGGTCAGGGGCCATGGGTATCTGCCTGGTATTGGGTTTTACTGTGGCAGGCCGCATCAAAGACCTGCACTCACTTCCCTCTTTCTTGCCCAAGTGGGCATTGTCTGTGCCTGTGCTGTGCTGCTTGGAGTTGGGGAAGGGATGAAGTGGACAGTGTGACTCTGTTCTTCCATTGAGCTTTAATGTATCTTCTTATTTTTATGCTAAAACCGGGTACTGTGTCAGGTACTATGATCTCACATCTGGTTTCCTTAGCTCTTACTTTCATGTGCAGAGAATTGTTCAAATCAATGTTTCTATGGGGAGATGATCAATGAAGGGTCCTATTTGGCCATCTTGCTCTGTCCCTCCTCAATTCTCCTTCATCTTAAAAATACCTATCCCTAAACTCTGACCCTTCTTGCTAAAACTTATTTCATCCATACCCTCATATTCAAACTCCTGGAAGAATTTGGTTATAGCCATGTATGTATTTCCTAATGCATCTTTTATTTCTCAACACATTGCAAAATATGTTCCATTCCAGTGATACTGTTTTGAAGGCCATAGATGACTTCCATATTATTAATCCAATGAATGCTTTCCAGGCCTAATTTTACTTGACCTCTTGGCAGCACTTAATACTCTTAGGGATGTCTTCCATTATGGTACATTCAATTCCCGCATCAGTGTAGTGATAATCTCCTAGTTTTCCTCCTCTCTCTGGGTATTTATTTTCCATATTCTTTATCCTGTAGAACTTTGGTAGCATTTATTGAATTCTAGGTTTGCTAGAGATAAAGTTCTAGCTTCTGTCTGTATAGAAATGTCCTTCTATTACATTATTGTTCTGTTCTTGTAATGTCTTTTTTAGGTTTTGGGGTTAGAATTATGCTGGCTTTATTAAATGTTTTGAGAAGTGTTTTTTTTCTCTGTATTTTCTGAAAGAGTCAAACTCAAAACTCTGAATTCTCGGTTTTGTTCTTTTAACTTTAGGTGAGTTATTTGGAGTTTGCCCACACTTGTCTAATTCAAGAGCTAGCTAGAGATTTGAAAGTGTTCATATAAAGAATTTAGGGCTTCCCTTCTCTAGCTCTCTCTTTATCCCCTTTCTCTTCAGCTTCTGTGTAGGCGAGGTACCTGAATGTTTTTTGGTTCTTCAAGCCGATGAGACTGATGGTTTACAGACAAATTTTAGTCATCTAGTATTTTGTTGCCTGGGCCTGCCTTCAAGATAAAACCATGAAAATGGAAACTCACTCAGTACCATTCTCTTTTTTCAACTGTCTTCTATGATCCAGTACCTTCATGTTTTTGGTAATCTCTAGTGTATGTATATTTATATATGAAAGTTGTTCCAAAAGGAGCTCTCAGCAATTACCCTATTGATATATCTCTAATTCACAAACCTTTCCTTTTGCAGTCTCCAATGCTATTACTCCCATCCAGTAAGTTTTCATTTTTGCTCTTTTAAATTCTAGAATTTGTATGTTTAGAGTTTTCATTTCTCTGCTGATATTTCCCATCTATTTCCTTATTATTATTCCTCTATCGTACTTCCTCTATATTCATGGTATCTTCTTTACTGTGGATATTTTCCATATATTCCCTTATAATTGTTCCTTTAAATACTTGGATATATTCATAATATCTACTTTGAAGTTCTTATGTGATAATCTTACCATCTAGGATTTCATGGGGTTTTTTCTGTTGATGGGCTTTTTTTCTCTAATTTTGGGTCACATTTCTGTCTTTTACATGTCTCATAATTTTTTATTGTATGCTGAACTCTTTGAATGATGTCTCGTGGGGAGTCTGCATTATGCTGTCTTCCTTTAAAAGGCACTGACTTTTAGTTTAGCAGGTAATTACTGACAGATGTTTTCATTCTGTTAGGCTTAGTATAATTCTTTGTCATTGTGGGTTAATTTCAATTTTAAATCTGGTCTTTGGGCTTGGCCCTTAGTCCAGGGTGGGGTTCCCTAGTCCAACAGTTTGGAATTTTGGGGATCAGCACAGAATATCTGAGGTTACAAGAAAGTTCACTCTGTCCTGGCTGGGTTGGAACTTCAGCTCCAACTGTTCCTATACCACATCTGGTATTTGTCTTCAGTTCTCGATTCTACAGCAGTCATACTCTAACAGGCTTCAAGGAGTTTCCTACTGCACATGTACCATCCAACCCACAGCCATGTACTTATAGAAAAGAGTCTTGTACACTTTTGAGATCTTCACAATTTGTGGATTCCTCCTGTCCTGTACACCAGTATTTGTCTTTACAAATTCTAGGTGCCAAATTTTGATCTCTGTTTTCTCAGCTTGAAAATAGCACCACCTTGCTTGTCCCTCACTACCCTGCATAGAGGGAGGAAAGTGTTCTCAGTCAGAAATCCAGGGTGATTGTGGGGCCTAATTTCTCTTTAGTAAAGTGTCACAATCCTGGATTGCCTCTTGTGCAATGGTGAAAAACTCTTACCTTATATATGTTTTTCAGATTTCTATTTGTTTAATTGTGAGGGCAACTCCAAAGCAGTTACTGTGTCATAGCCAGAGGCAGATGGCCCCATTAGCCAGAAGAAGTGTTTTATCACAACTTAATTTTATCTGGAAGCCCCTTTTCTGGCTGAACATACAAGTTTCTTCTGTGCTCAGTGTGTGTTCTAAGTTCACCAAGGCAGAAAATGAATCACAGGAATAGCTGTGTTATTAGGAAGAGGGTCAGGAGGGACTGATACTTCTGTTTCTCTTTCATTGGTCCACATGGATATGACAGTTTATTCATTTGACCTATGGGTTTTGTGAAAAGAGAACTACATCATGTTTGGAGAGGCCACACAGTATACCAGAACACATTGAGACATATCTGGATTTAAAATTGGTCTCTGCTACCTAGTAAAAGTATGGCCTTTGTTCAGTTCCCAAACTACTGTGAATGCAATCATTATCATCATAACAGTAATGAAACCTCCTTCTATTGAGCATTTTAACATGTGGTAATCTTTGCATAAAAAAAGTATTTCCTATATTATCTCATCTTAGGTTTATAAAAAACTAACGCAAATATGTTGTTTACATTTTACTAGTCAATGAGGCATTGAAATAAATAACTTAACTATGGTAACAGAGCTTAATTTGGTGGAAAGATTTGATTGATTCTGAAAACTAAACTGTAACGATTATTTCTGAGTTTCAGAAAAACCCACTAGAAATTGAAAATGCTCTCTCCTTTCCACAAGAATATGTGAAAATTCAGTTGAAGGAACATAGCAGAAGGAGGGCATACTTATCAGTTTCTCGTCTTGATGAGAAATTGAAGTTTTTCAGAATGAGGCCACAAAACTACTGAGTTCTGAGGAAGGCCTCATACTTGGCTCTAAAGGGAATAAGCTGGATTTTCAGTGGTATCTGCACTGTTAGAGAATCCTGCAATTTATTTGTCAAGTGCAATGTGCTCCAGGGAGCTTCCTTGTTTTTCTGCAGAGTACATGCTGGTGTCAGACTACAAACTGGTGAAGATGGCCTTGCAATCAAAGAACAGTGCCCTGGACTGGGCATTGTATGATTTAATAC